CCTTAACTTAGTTTGTAAAACAAAGTAACCCACTCGGGTTCCGAACGTTTATGATATTGCATTTAGTAAACGTCATGTTGTAACACATGTGATAGCAATAGAGCGGCTTGTAAGTACCACTTTCAGTACTATAATTATGCAACTTTCCCAATAAATGTTTCACGAACACCTAGTATATTTCCAAGTAAAACCCTCAAAACTCATCGATTTGTTATTAGGCCAAGCGTGGCCTAGTGTTTCGCGTGCTCGTATTACGAATCCGAGGGTTCGTGTCTCATTCCCGAAAAAAACAAAAAAACGCGCCCAACACTGGTACGCCAAAGTTCACTCTTCGGTCAGGCCAGAGTAGCCCAAGAATTGGCAGTGGGTGATGTTTATTAGTTGCCTTCCTTATAACCTATCCGTTCAAAATCAGGGACAATTATGCGCAGACACCCCTTGTGTATTTTTATGCAAAAATTCTGATGGAAACAAAAACAAAGGACTTTTTAATAACCGCGATGTGATTTCCAAGATAAGCCGTGAATAATGTCAACTACTTTTCGGAAACGATATGTGGTAAAAAATTCCAACCTTTTAAGTTTTTACTGTTACCTATAACACGAAAACTGATACATTGTTAAAACAAGACTTATACAGTATTTTCATTATTTAAGGGACATATTTATCATTACCCAACTTATTTATATGGCAAATTGCTGTTGTTGTTTCCAACCCTTAACAACTGATAATAGCAACTACACAACAACATACAATTCCTCTGATAGTAATATCTCAGAACGGATGACATATCTTACTGAATGAGCCATGAACAATATCATGTTTGACTTCGATGATGATGGTCTGATGATTAGAGTGCTCGACTCGCAATCTGCTGGTCGCGGGATCGAAACACGTCCCTGAACATGACATCCCTTTCAGCAATGGGGACGTTATAATGTGATAGTCAATCTTACTATTCATTAGTTAAAAGCATCCCAAAAGTTAGTGGTGAGTGGTATTGACGAGATGCCTTCCTTCTAGTCCAGTGTTGACCAATGACTACCTGCGATGACCGCCCAGTATTCCGAAGTCCCGATGGTCACAGATTTTTGGTTTTCTCATTATAAGTGAAAATTGAATGAATAAACAAATTCGTGGGTCCATAATAGATGAATGCAATCCCAAATGAAAAGTTTAAAAGATACATCTCGGAGGAGGTTCTGGGGAACAGCCGCCCCTGACGGCTTGCTCTCGTTTCAAATACGAACAACAGAAATATTTGATATACATTTTAGTGTACAGCTCATTGCATTAGCTCGGTGTCGATAATTTTACTGGCTGGAAGCTTTCAACGTGTATAATGAGTCGAAGATATAACATTCGTTGTCACAGCAATATGGAATAAAAATCTTGGATATCAATTCTCTCAGAAGAGCTAGATTCCTAGATCTGATTCTGATTCGTAAATATGCGGCTAACACGATAAATACATCAGGCAAACGTTATCCATCCATTTGTGAGAAACAGCAACCTTTTAGGTCATATCCTGGAGTGCTTTTGTCATTAAATTTCACAAATTTAACCGTTAAAAAAAGACAAAAAAAACTTGCATCTTTGGACTATCGGGCCTTCGGAGTAATGGACCCTCGAATTAACCCTCAAAAAAAGTTGGAAACCACTGCTCAAGTCTACCACACTAAAACAGCTAGCGCAGACAGCCTTCGAGCAGATTTAAGAGAAATTCGACAAACAAATTGGTGATTTTATACTGGGACTCTGAGAGAAATAACACCTGTGCTCTTGAACTTTAACCCTAAACATGGCGTATCCCGTTTTGCAGGATAAAGTAAACTGCAGTTATACTAAGTTTAGTCGCCCCATGTGTCCATTCTTTTTGTCTACTTAATATGTTAACAATAAATGTACTGTTACACTTTAGCTAAATTAACGGTTCATTAAATACAGGCATTCTCATAATACATAAAAAAAAACCTGGAGCAACATTGGTAATACGACATGAACGTATCACATAAGAGGTTTTACCGTAAAACGTATATAATTTTGGAAATATTTCATCCTTGGCTGTGCTTTGTTTCTCTATATCATATTAAACCCAGAAAACATTTGCTTTTGTGTGTTTGTTTGTTTTTAATTATGCACAAAGCTACACAAGGGCTATCTGTGCTCTGCCCACCACGGATATCGAAACCCGGTTTCTAGCGTTGTAAGTCCGCAGACATACCGCTGTGCTACTGGGGGGCGCTTTTGTATGATTGTTTT